ATATGCAGTGTATTATTTGTTGAAACTGTACTTTCGATTTGATTTGAAACTGTCTCATTGCTATATGTTTATCAATAAAACTTTGAAAAGAAAAAAAAAGATACCTTAAAAACAGCAAGAGACCATTAAAAAAAAATCATTGCAACACCCACAAGGTGAGGCAAAGAAGAATAACAAAAGATTGATTGGAGTCAGTGAAAAAGCTAGAAATAGTACAAAAGCCATATATACCTTTTTACAGAAATAATAGCAGAAAACTTCCCAAGCATAGATAAATAATTTCACACACAAAATAATGAAACATATAGAAATCCATATAGCCAAGACCAAAATAAGTCTGCACCAGGCATACAATAATTAAGATTCCAGAGATTCAGAACAATGACAGATTATTAAATGTGGTTAGAGAAAAGAAACAAATCACCTATTAAGGGAAGCCCACCAGAATCACAGAAGACTTATCAACACAAACCCTCAAACTGAGGAAAGGTTGGAATAAGGTACTTCAAGCCCTAAAAGAAAAATAATCTTCAACACAGATCGAGGTACCCAACAAAACTCTCAAAATCAATGGGAAAGTAAGATACTTTCATGACAAAGAACAACTAAAGAAATTCATGACTACCCAACTAGTTCCTCAGAACACTCTGAAGTATATATTAGAAAATGCAAAGACCAAAAACACAGGAATATCAAAAGAAAGAAGCCACCAGGTAGGGCAAGCAATTAAACAGAGGAGAAAGACAGGGAACCAACCACAACAAAATAACATGAAAAAGATGCTAATACATATCAGTTATAACCATCAATGTAAATGGTCTCAATTCACCAACCAGAAGAAACAGACTGGCAGAATCTATCAAGAAGAAAGATCCAACAATGTGGATCCAACAAATGTGCTGCATTCCAGAAGCACATTTAACCCCCAGAGAAATTCACAGGCTGAAACTCAAAGGATGGAGAACAATACTCCATGCAACAGGAAGCCAGAAGAAAAGCATGAGTAGCTATTGTATTTGTAGACAACATAAACTCTAAGTCAAACCTGATCAAAAGAGACAAAGAAGATCACTACATACTTGTTAAGAGAAAACTCCAAGAGGAAGAGGTAAAAATCAAAAACATACCAGTGTACCCAACTTCATAAAACAAATAATGACAGATGTGAAAAATAAAATAAGCTCCAACACAATTGTGGTGGGATACCTTAGCACCAGACTCTCACAAGTAGATGGATAGATCAACTAGCCAAAAAACTCAACAAAGAGGTATCAGAAATAAACCAAGCCCGTGAACAAATGGACTTTATAGATGTCTGTAGAGTAGTCCAGCCCAAAATATCAGAATATACATTCTTCTCAGCTGCACATAGGATGCTCTCCACAATAGACAGCATAGATCCTTCAGCTCATGAGTGTGATGACTGAATATTCGTGCTGAATGGATGAGATGGGCCTTACTCAAGCCTTGTTATGATGTGAGTACATTACCAGTTAGACATGAAAAAAAAAAATATATCAATCACATATGAGCCCATAAAACATGCTTAAGTAAATTTAGAAGAATTGAAATCACCCCAGGAATACTATCTGATCATAGCACAAGGAAACTGGAAATCAACGGCAAAAGAAATTGCAAAACTACATATACACATGGAAATTAAACAACAACCATCTGAACAATAGGTCACAAAGGAAATTAAAGACAAAACTAAACCAAATCTGCACTCGCGGGACCTCTGGACCAAACCCAGGCATGCTGCATGAGTAAGACTTTCAGACGTGCCCATGGGACCCCTTCAGAGCCCCACCCCCCTCCAAGCCTACAGAGTGAGTGAGAACTTCTGCTATGCATTCAGGACCTCCCAGATCAAGCCCAAGCCCAGGCCTGGCGAGTGTGTGGGAGAGCTTCTGTGCTTCCCTGTCCCCCCTGTGCCAGGGGCACAACAGGTTTACTTCCAAGGGCTGCAGCAGGAAGGAGCTGAGCACAACAGCTAGACCCAAAGCAGGCACAACTGGATAAATTCAAACTTAATAGATCTACACCTGAATTTCTGTAAGTGTCAAGATTATAACTGCACCAAAGCTCTACAGCAAAGGCCAGATATCAGTGCTATACAACATAAAATGACAAGGAGAAGGAGCAAAATGCAATCTCAGGGCTTGAGCTCACCTAGAACAAGTGCAGAGGACACTACCTCAGCTGAAATGTATGAATTAATAACATCTGAAGTAAAGAAACCACAGCAGAAAGGTATAGAGGAACTCAGACCAGAACTAATCTCTGAAATGAAAAAAAAAAAAGAAATCCCTAAATTACTAGCTTCGGAAGAAAAAAAAACAACAGCAAAAACGTATAGAGGAACTCAGATCAGAAATAATCACTGAAATAAAAAAAGAAATCTCTGAATTAATAGTGTCTGAACTAAAGAATCAAATACAGAAACAGAGGAAATCAGATCAGAAATAATCTCTGAAATAAAAGAATTAACTGCTTCTCAAGAAGACACTGATTTAAAAAAATAGAGATTAGAAAAGCGATGGATTCCTTGAATGAGCAATACAGGCAAGAAATAGATTGCATGAAGCAGAGTCAAAGAGATACAAAGGAATTTAAAATTTCAATCAAAAGCTTGCAAAACCATTTGAGTGAAAGTGAAGATAGTTTCAGATCCTGAGGGAGCTGTCACAGCTAGTGAAAAGGTAAGAAAAGATCTCTTAAAAACAACTAGGATGGGGGCCGAGGAGATAGCTCAGTAGAATAAGTGCTTGCCTGCAAGCGCAAGGGACTGAGTTCAATCCCCAGTTCCGGAAAAAAGAAAAAATCTGTGCAAAAACAATTGGATATAGGAAAAAATAATTCATCACCTTCAAGACAATGTAAGGGTGAACAACATGAGACTAATAGGCATCAGTGAGAAAGAAGGAGTCAATACAAATGATATAAATAGAACATGGGCAGAAGAAATAGCAGAAAACTTCCCAAATATGAAAGCCGCTAGAGAAAAGAAACAGAGCACACTTAAAGGAAAACCCATCATAGTAATGGCACAGACATCTCTTAACAAACCATGAAGGAAAGAAGAGTATGGAGAAGAGCACTTTAAATCCTCTATGAAAACAAATTTGAGCCCAGGATACTATACCCTGCAAAACTCTCTTTAAAGTTGATGGAGGAGTGAAATACTTCCATGACAAAGAATAACTAAAGAATTTCATGATGACAAAGCCAACCCTACCCAGACATCTAAAAGATGTTCTAGATAGGGACCAAAATAATCAGAACTCCACAAACAAGAACAGAAGGAACTCACTAAATAGGGAAAATAATTAAACACAGGAGAAAAAGGAGTAAATGACAGCAGGTAAATAGCATGTCAAGAGTAAGTCAATACATCTCAATTCTAATCATCAATGTAAATGGACTCAATGCACCAATTAAAAGAAATAGACTGGCACAGTGGATTAGGAAACAAAATCCAACAATATGCTGCACACAATAAACACACTTAACTCAAAAAGAAATTCATAGGCTGAAAGTCAAAGGATGAAAAACAATACTACACACCCCAGTACCTCAGAAAAAAGCAGGGGTAACA